TCTACACCAAAGTTTACAAGCCTAAGTAGGAAAGCAAATCTAAGGGAATTGATTTCAGCACTGGTTTGCTAGTAATTGACACCATACTTGGTAAATAATATTAACAATTAATACTGCTCGTTTCATTGGTGTTTTAACATAATCACAAGCCGAGGTTATTCTTCCATGTTTTCAGGTAAATGTGAAACTGAAAGATACGAAGGTCTCACGTGGCCTGTGACGTCAGCAGGATCAAGGGCAGAGTCATTGGAGAGATGCCCTCTTCAGACCATGATAGGTAAGAATTGAAACCGCCATTCGCTATAAAAAATACCTTTTCATTTCGATTCCAATTGTCTATTCAGTCATAGCCATTGGTATTGCAATCCTCATTACTTCCTTGATGATGTTTTCTACAAATTATTTCTCTCATCAGCCGGTCAACCTCGAGCTGTGAGGTACTGTTCAGTTGATGGACCTCCTGTGTACTTCCAATGGGTGGAGCACGAGCCTCGCAGCTGTGGTGAAAATAGGAACGAGGTTACCCTTGCAGACGTTGAAGAGGTAAGCTATACACTGTATATTTAAAAATCAAAGGTATCCCAATATATTTGGGTTTTAAACTTATGTAATTGAGAAGCATATCTTGAAAATCCATTGGCACTAAATCATTAAATTTTCTTTGGGGTTTCCAGGTTGAGGTTAGTACAGGAAACGTGGTTGATGTGGCCGAGTTTCTGGCCAATCAGACGTCAGAGTCATTTGAGGGTGCTTAAGCTGTGGAGGTGGTGTCCAACATTTTGGTAAAAATTGTCGGGGCGGGATCTGGTGACACGAAGGTAGGTGCATGCAGATATCAATTGCAAACTAATTTGATTACGTGTTGGACGAGATGAAGTTAAAACGGGTGCCATTAACGACAACCCAACATGCTAGGTATTCGGCTTTACAGTTTTCTGTCTTTAGGTAACTGAATTGTGTTGGGGACTGTTAGCCATGACACCAAGGGCGCTCTCATATTCTCATATTCCTCATATAAATTAGAGGTCAATATATATATCATTCAAATAAATGTGAAGCAAGGCAAAGGCATGGAATAAACCTAGAGAGCACACCACCATAACCAGATAAAACTAGTTCTGAGATACCAAAAAGAGATAGAGTACCAAAAAGTAGCAAAGAACTCAGATTCAATGCGTTCTTTTCGACTCTCTTAACGTCCTCGTGTAGGTTACTGAGTTGGTGTTGGAGACTGTAAGCAATGTCATCATTAGTGTTGCAGAAACTCCTGACTCCCAGACTGCCGATATCAAAGCCGGTAGCTCCTCAGCCATCGTGCGGTCAGTAGAGAGTCAGGTCTCTTTGACTCTGAGACAAAAAGGTGAGGTCAGTATACGTCAGGACACCATCCACGTCGAGGCGGTCAGTCTGGATCCCATGCAGGCTCGAAATGGTCTCAGCTTTGTTTCCGTAAGACAGCCTGGACAAGGGTCACCACATGAGGGCTCGCTCGTTGGTACTGAGGTCCAGACCATTATGGGCTCCAATGAGATCCCTGAGGGGATCGACGTGGTGGCATCGGTGCAGTTACCAGGGAGCATTCTTCGCTTGATACAGCCAGCTGACAGTACGTAGCTTCTGCTTAATTAGACAACATATTTCATTGCTTTTCTGAAGCGATATATAATTATCTCTTGAAGTGGAATGGGAAAGAAAAGTTAGGCGGCAGGTGGAGAGATTATGAAACAAATCATGGCTTGGCGGGAGGCTTTACCTATAGGGATATACTTGTTTCCAAGATAAAGTTTCAATTGTAATGGGAACTTGGGCTGTACTCGTCGACAGTGCATTAGTTGATCACTCTTCCCAAGTGCTCTCAAACACTTTGACTGATATCATCTTATATTAATGTGAATGTAGATGACAGATCTGCCCAGCTACAAGCCAGTTTCCTGATCTACGCTGACGACACTTTGTTTCAGTCTGCTTCAATCAGAGAGTATCGAGGGGAGGATAATTCGACTCGTAAGGTCGCTGGATCGGTCGTCTCACTGACTGTGGAGAATGTTGAAATTGTCAACCTCACAGAACCATTCCCCACAAAAAGCCTCCAAAACCCAAAACGGAAATGGAGTTGTTGGCCATCCCTAAACAAATATATCATTACATCAGCTGAATGTCAAATGTAATGTTTTGCTGAAAACATGGTATCAATATTTTGCATGTACATGTACAGCAAAGTTCTTTCTTCTGTCACATGAAGTGATTCAGACAAGAGAGATTCATGCTGACATTTCTTATTTTTGCACCTGAACTGAGGAAGTCCTCTACACTGTGGACACAACCACTTCCTTTTAGGCATGTTCTTTAGTCCGAGGCATTTCAAATGAAACTCTCTCCATTTGCATGTTGGATTTCCACATTTGGCCATGTCACCCTCTGATGGCTTTTCGCAGTAGCATGAACTTGTTGGGCCACATGTTGAGTGAAATTCCTGATTCTCAACATCTCGAACTTTTGTAAAATACTTGCCAACTAATTTAGGCAATACTGCTACCCTGAAAAAGTGCTCAGCTCTTTGTACTGCTTCCTGCCATAGCAGTGCATCTGGTTGTAGTCGTTCAATGTGCAGGCTGTTGTTCTTGCCTGCCCACACAACAAAGTCACAATACCTCATTGATGTTAGATGGATGTGAGCCTTAACCTGGTAGTAGTAGTTGTGTGATTTGAGAAGTTTGAGTTCCCCACTGTCTGATTTCTGCAGATATAACTGTGGATCTGTTGCAGCTTCATCAATGGTTTGGTCTCGCTTGCAGTATGGGCACTTGACCTCCACACAACCTTTTCCATGGCAGCTTCTGTTGACAATCCCATCTGGTGAAGAACCCAAAAATGGATACATGGTGTTCAGAACCAGACCACTCTTTTCCACCTTGATGTTTTCATGTGTCTGCATCATCTGTGCGGTGTATATTTCAATGGCCTCCTTTTCATGACAGCATCCCCGTCTTGTGGCTTGTGAAGAGAACTTCAGTATGTCTGGATAGCAAATGCATTTAATGAGACCCATAGCTGGCATTGCTGGGTTGGTCTTGCAAACTGCACCAAGCCTGGAGGAGGTGACTCTACCAGCACGAAAGCGAAACCACATCTTGGATTTTGACTGGTCTCTTGTTTCCGCCTCCTCATTTTTAGCAGCTTCTGCAGACACTGTGTTATTAACTTCATCACATTTCCTGAGCAAATCAGTGTAGTTCATGTGAAAGGTTGTGGGATTCGCCAGGTCGGTCAGTATCACAGGAAACTCCTTCTTCTGCTCAACTGGAACAAATGCATCTGCATAAGGCTCAAACCCTGAAAGCACCGCACACTTGATGCCTGACACTGAAAGACTGTGCAAGAAGGAACTAAGTTCATCCTCAGTCGGTCCAGCAACTTCACTCTTCGTCATCCGATCGGGTTGTGTGTTAGAACAGGTTACTGAAATCACGTCAGTGCGTTGTGGTCTATTTCACGGTCTGCCCTCCTCTTTTTAGCCATGGAGGAAGAAAAGTCAATGCTGTGAAGTGGTTGTGCATCAAGTTCCCTTTTTCCTGGCTGCATCCAGTAAGCTTTGACCATTGTGGGGGTTGATTTTTCTCTGATGCGATTCCCAGCGTCAATGGCAAATAGAACAGCAGATACATGACTGCAAGTTTCATCGAGGCCTGCTTTGCAATTGCAGTGTGCGCTAAGAATACTTCCAGGGCTGTCTACAACACACCACGCCTGGTAAGGTTTAGCACCTGGTGTTTGTGAGTGCATCACCTGAAGATTGACAGAATTGAGGGAAGCAAAAAGAAGGCATATTCAATCAAGGACCACACAGATATTCCTTGATGTGCACACAATAGTTTTCTCAGAACAAAAAATGTTACTTTCAAACATACTTACATTCCAGATAATTAGAGAACCATATTGTCACTGGGTCTGACATAACAAAACCTCTCTTGCAATCATCACCATTTAATCCCACTTTAAAAAGAAACTTAAAGTACATGGCTTTTGAAATGAGAATTAAGGGTCAAAGAATGATTTACAGGGACCATGCATTAAACAATGTTATGAGTAAAACGTAGTGCAGACTTTGTAAAACAATTACATGTAAAGGTCTCTGTAAATCCTTGGAGTGCATACATTTTGTAATACATATGTTCAGTCAATACAAAATATCCAAAATTTAACTGTGATACCTTTATTTCCTCATGAAATAAAAAAAAAAGAAAAAAAACACGATTGTGCACAACTCATTTGGACGGCGGCCATTTTGCTGTCTGCTTCAGACGTGTCCAAATTTAATTTTTAAAAGTGAAGGTATCGGTCATCCTGGTCATCATATCTCACATCAGGGACTTTTTGTTCCAAACGGAAATATAAACCTTCATCCAGGGTATCAATTATTATACACTTAGAATTAGACAGTTCTATTTAGTTTAGTTCACCATCACCCCCCGGAGGCGAGGGTAATTATCAGCATCCAGACTCTAAGCGGTCTTAAACAGAGTGATAAATACCAACCGAGCACATTCATAAATTCCCATTCATAAATACCTTTTTGGTATAAAAAAATCAAATAATTTGTTCAAAAAATCCTGATTTTGTTCAACAAGCTCACTTCATGATTTTTGAAACATTCCTCTAGCAAAATAATGGAGTGTTCAGCTGGCGAGTATGATGTAAACAACCCTTTTATGGAGATTGATGCGCGCGTAGCATGTTCTGCGCGATGTCGCGCAGAACGCACCTGGGGCGTTGCGTGTTGAATTTAGAACTATAAAATTCTGACTCGCTGGTAGTGTTGCGCATGCCTACGTGAGGATTGTGAACGTTCAACCAATTAAACGGTAAGAGGCACCGGACTTTTAGGAGTCCACACTTTATTGTGACACTGGAAAAGTGTTTAAGACCATGTCTTTATCATCCGTTTAAGACCGGCCACGTGACGGGCTCTCGACCAATAGGAATAGCTAAACTGTCTGAGGTATTTATGAATTTGCATTCAACAGGTAGTAGCATGAAAAGTACACTCTTTTGCAAGGTTTTTGAATGTGAAGTAAGCCAATGACATTATGAGCCTTATATGCAGCAGTACACTTACGCCTTAGTTAAGTGGAACCACCGACTCACGACAGTTGGTGAGCGCACAACATACTTGCGCAATTTTATCAATTTTAGGCACCTTTTGTTTCTCAGATGTAACTAAGGATTCCCATGGAACTTTTTCAGACAAAATGCTGTAAGTCTCTCTCAGTTCTCCGATGACACGTTCAACATGTATGCGAAGGTAAGCAATTTTCCGTGATCTCTCAACATCCAGTGCTGAAAGTTGGGGCTTGCCTTCTGAGAAGGCTGGCGTCAGAAGCTGTGCACAGTAGAATCCGACCTCATCAGAAATGTTAAATCCTCGATCAGCTAAAACGTAGTCACCGGGTAACAGTTTGTACAAGAAGTCAGACTGAAGTGTGATGGCTTTGTCTGATCCCCTTCCTCCCCATGCTGAAAGCAGATATGATATGATGCCTGAAGGGGTGATACCTATCAAGAATTTGACTGTATTGTGGTGCTTGTAATTCGACCATGTCTGTGCTCTTGCCTCTACACTTGGACGGACATGGACGGACACAGAATACTTCGAAACAATCAATGATCACGGCAACATGTTTGCCAAAGGCTTTTCTGAAATCCATTGGCATTGTTTTCCACAAGGTCTCTCTGGAAGGCAACGTTATCAGTGGTGACAGCTGGGTAGATAGAATGTCCAACATCAGAGAAAATATGCGGCACACTGTAGCTTCGCTCACTTGAAAACGAAAAGCAAGATCTTTGTGCTTCAGGTTTAACTTCAGTTTCATCAGAACCAGTACAAGTTGCTGAAATGGTGTCAGAATTTTCCCCAGAGGAATTTTAGGTACTACAAAATTGAAGACTGCCATCAAAACTGTAAGTGTCGGAAGTCCAGTGTAAAACTTCACTTTATCATCATCTTTGAAGTACTGTTCATTGATTGTTGCTCTTTCCGCTGTCTTCATGGCCCGCTGAAGCTCTGAGCTGTTTCCTGCTGCCCGACCTTCCAGAACACTGATGTCTATGGCATAAAGATCAGTCTGGGTGCTCACGCTCTTAAATGAGGGTTTCTCTGTCTGCACACCTTTGTTGTTTTGGTTTAGAAGTGTTGCTTGGTCTTGGGGTTCCTTGGTCTGCGGTTGATGTTGTTCATGTGTCTTGGCCGCTAACTGCCTTCGTTTTGATCGCTCAACCGTTGCTGACTGATGAGAAGGGTGCTTTGACATAGCTTCTTGTGGCCCAAGTTAATGGTTGGCGCCCAGTCTATGCTCAATTCATCATACAAAGCTGCTGGTCGACCTGCAATTAACATAAGTATGCAAAGTGATAAGTACACGTTCACATGCTGCTATATCTTATTCGCAATCTTCTGAAAGTTATAATTCCAAACAAGCTATTTGATCTAATAACAAGTTTCCAACTCCCATTTTAGTTGGGAATTATGTGACTGATTAAAGGCCTAGCTGATGCCAAACACAACTGCAAGAAGTATTTATTTGACTGAATTTCAAAGAAAAATTCATGTGAATGCAGAGTAATGTTCGCTCTATGTTTTTTTGGCAGGCTGATAAATTTACAACAGAAAAGAAATGAAAACCAAATGGGTCCAAAATTGTTTGTATTAAAGTACCAAGTACTACAGCTTTTGTTTTGGAAACAGTGCTTTTGTTTTGGAAACAGTTTCTGTAATCTTTCACCATTTTCTGACACTGACATCCATTCTTTCATTAAAATGGAAACAAATTATTTGCTAGTATAAAAGGCTTACAACAAAGCAGACCTATAGGCTTTGATCTGGATAAACTCCCTCAATGACATGAATAGGAACTGAATATTTGGGGGAGAAATTTTTATTCTTTCAAGAAAAAAAAGGAGGAAAAAATGGGTGAAAATTTATTTTAAAAATTACAACGAAAGTACTTTTCGAAATGGATTTTCAGGAGGGGATTTATTCTTGCCTGGGGGTCAATTGAAGTTCGAATCACAACAAAATAAAATAAAATATAATAATAAATAAAATAAAATAAATACAAAGGTCCATATGAATGAGCCCCCTCCAAAAAACAGAAGCCAAATCCTGGCTGCGCTGCAGGGTGCCTGTATTTTAACCATGACCCCCAAAAATTCCCTAAAAAAATTGCAAATTTTGAAAAGGTAACACTTTGCTTGGGTGGTTTAAAAGTAGATGTCATGCACAACCAGTAAGTGTTTTGACAATGGTACTACATGTATAGCGAAAAAGAAAACGTGTTTTTCAAGTGTGCACATCAAAATACGGCGATGATTTTCCTCATTTTGCTGTCTGCTTTTGGTCGGAATAGGCCTGAAGTCGGGTTTGAAAGCAGCTACATGCTTTAATGGTTAAACCTTTCCCTTATGATGAACCATCATAGGATAAACTGACCTGAAACAAAGTGGTCCGAGCAAACTTTGTAGTGGGTTTTCGTCGGATCCAAGTCTGCACGTGAAATGTTTGCAAGCCACTGCACTCTCCGTCTTGTTGACAATTCCTTAGTTTTTTCCCCCTGGTGGTGGATAATTTTGGGGATGGAATAGTATGATTTGTCCTTTTCTCGTTCACTTCGATTGCTGCAAGCGTAAATGCAGCACACATGCACCATTTCCGACGGAAAATGCAGCACTGCAGCATGCATGCAACACACGACGTCAACTGCTCGTCCCATGTCATGGCTGACAGATCGTTGCTAAGTTACGACTTGACCTTTTGACCCCGCATGCAGGCGCTAAATTAAGTTGCGTTAGCTTCCGGTTCCTATGGTTCCAATGCTACTTAATGGCAAGTGGGCGTGGTTTAAACTGAACTGACGAACGAACCGGATACATTTGACAATGGCATACAGTTGGTACAGAATGACAAACCTCCTTTGGATAAATAAAGAAAGACCAAGTAGAAATTTAATTTAAGTTGTGACTTCCAGTCTCGACTGACTGATTAGCTAGGCATTAATCAGAGATATAAATGCGGCACACGATAATAGTTTCGCTCGATGAAATTTAATCAAAATCAGAAATGAAGGGAGTTTGTCCTCTATACAAGAATCTCTTTGAGTGAAAATGAAAAAGGTTAAAAAACGCACCAGGTCTTAGAAAGGGATGGCAGGGAAAATTACAACAAATTATGGTATAACAATGTGCATGCTTCGATACAGTTCAACAAAAACACATATCTTATTCAATTACATGTATATATATGTATACTTTTAACGTTGCTGAGTGTACCTGTTAAAGACTACTTACTAACATGAAATGCTAACATGAAATGCTTGTACATAAACTGTGAACAGTTGGGCATGCTTGTTCTGTCATGAATTTTGTCACTCCTAGGCCTCCTTGCAAATTCTCAAGCAACCGCAATCGAATACCACGTATAAGTTAAAAGCATGTACAAAATTCGCTGAATCTTTCATTATCATGTGATTACGACTTCTCTTGGGAGCCGGGGGATGCACGGGCGATCAAAACTCCTCCGATGAATTTTTTTTCTGCGGAAACAACTGGGGAACCCATATGCTTTTGTGTGGGTTGCCAGTTATATACTGACTTAAATAAGGATACATGTATGTTTAGGGCTAATTGCTATGTACACGCATATTGTTGATGTTAGCATATACGTTTATTATATATATAAGCCATAACCAAACTTCTTGTTTAACCATGCGAACAAAATAAAGATAAAATAGAATGAAATACATAGTAAAAAAGTAAAACATATGTTTCCGTAAATATACATGTACAATTACGTAGCCTTAATACTTAAGGTTTCAATGCACTGTACGCAGATGATTCGTCAATTTCATTGTTCATTTAATAATTAATTATTAATGGATAATTATTAATTGTAAAGATTTGTTATACGAAGCCTGTTTTTGTTGAAATTTTTTAAGGGCCAATGTAATGTGATTTTTTAATGCAGTTCTTGTAAATGCAACTTCGCGGCCCATTTAACCTTATTTTCAATTTTCATTTTGCCATGCATAAGTGCATTTGGTGTCTTTTGGGTTTTTATGCTAATCCGAATTTGCAGATTTATGAGCAAAAACAGTGATGTAATTTCGGGCAGAAAAATTGCCATAATTTTGGAGGTTTTGCTGTGTGTGGTAAATTTTCTTTTCATTGGTGATTAGTTGTTGTTTCAGTACATGATAGTGGGCTAATTAGCAAAGTTTTCTCCAAAAAAAAGGTTTTAATGAGCACATTTTGGGTTCACCGTTTTAAACAGAAACCCCCTAAACTGAACAGTGTCTTCCTGAAAGAACATCGCAGAAACAGCGCCCTCACTTGTCCGCGAAAGCATGGACATTCTTTTTTAAATGTTTAAACGCAAAATTCTTACTTGCTACTCGAAATAAAATGACGTGTGGAGTACCATTGTGCTGTCGTGTACAAATATGCTATGTAGCATAGTGTGACTGATGTGTGTGCAGTTGCTCGTCTCCGTGCGCCAACTAAAGAGGGCGCCCTTTTACCTAGCAACGACGTCCCATGACGGGTCATTTCGCTGGTTGACGCGCACCGTTCCTTGTGTGTGATGCACGTACACCAGGGGACTCAGATGTACTATGTACACGCAGTGCTAGTGGTGGCTGCGCGGCGTCGCGGCAAAATTGCAGTCAGGCAAGATGGCGTCGGTCGGTCACCCCAACTGTACTTTTTTTGCCGGTGAGAGTACTTGTGAACGGAGCGGTATGTAAACTGGTTAGCCAGCGTCCGCCTCGCAACCTTGAAATCCTCGGCCACTCTTACATGGGTTGTGTGATTGGCTAGTGCGTGGCCAATTCTGATGAATTAAGCACGAGGGGGGTCGGCAGCGTGCCTTTTGGCCGATTGAATTTAAATACGTGTGTGTTAAACTTAAAGCGAGAGCTTTGAAACAACTAGCCCTGTAAAATGTTGAAAATACCGAGTGGTGCAAATTCCTTTTTTAATCACTTAAATATTCGCTTAAAGACAAAATTCGTCCCGAGTATTCGTTAAAAGGAGAAGAAAACAAACGTAAATTAGCTTGTCCAATGTCAATTTGGAAACTGATTTTACCAACAATATATCATTGTTATCTAATGTCTACAAACAAAGTAGGCAAAGCTTCCGACGTAGACTGGCCAGCTGCTGTTTGGCATTGACGGCAAGACGCTCTGACTGACCCTCGCGTCGGCAAGCTTTTTTCAATATCGATCCGACGTTGGCCGGTACACGGTCCCGCCGACGTCGTTGCTTCGGACGTGTCGACAGTATCATTATCCCGCCGTCGTCGTTAAGATATACCGTAGACGTATGGACGTCACAGCACCGACGTATAGGCATATGACGGCAAGACTTATAATGACCAACGTCGGCAAGACGTTCTTAGACCGACGGCCTTTTAAAGGGCGTCGGTGCGACGTATGTGAGACTAACTTGGACCGACCCGACCATTTACCGACTTTGCCGACTGATCGTCGACCAAAACCGACGTCGGGCCAACGTCAGTGTGCTACCTGGGAGTCCATTGCATAGTGTTCAAAATGTGTGCAACAATCAGCTGCATCTTTCGATGCATCTCATTTTTTTAGTCGTTCCTTAAATACTGCGTGAAACATCATTAATTTTTTCTTGCATTTTAACCAAAGGTTTACATGGATAAAACAAAGTACATGTAGGTCAAGCAACTAGTTCGGGCCTTCAAAGGGGAATTCCTTTATACTTGATGTTATTGAAATAACTCTCAGTCAACAGCCTGTGTGTGTGTATGTTGTTGATGTTGGGGTGTTTTTTTTTCACCTCAAGCTTCCGCGACTATTCATTTTTTCCCCCCTCAAAAGTTCTTGATCGAGTTCCTTCCGCATACCGCTCAACCATCAACCACAAATTAAACTGTGAGACATAATAAACAAAAAAGAAGGAAAGAAGGAAAAATGTTGGTTTGCTCAGTACAAAAGGGCTTATATTTGCAGTATGGCGGAAAAGTAATCCCAGTGGCCCGTTCGTGCCGTGTTTTACAAAGTATGAAACTTCTACAAAATGTCCTTTGATTTCCGCATTCCCAATCGTCTCCTCAGTTTTCCTATAATATTGTCATGCATGTGGTGTATACCATGGCCGGATGTGGCCCATTCAATGGCGCTGTGAACAGGTAATCCTACACAATAGCACTGCCCGGCTTACAATCGACAGTGAGTCAGAGACACACAGGATAGTTGTTAAGTCTTGCACCAGGAACTAGCGCAATGTACACTATGAAAGCACTCAAGTTAAATTTGACTATTAGCCACTAAAGTCTGTGTAGTAACCATTTACAACTCTGTCAGGGCTGGCCCTGAAAGCAAGTCCAATATC